TTCAGTAAAAAATACTTTAGTGAACAAAGGTAAAACTGTGTTTCTTTATTCTGTCAAAAAGAAATTGTAGGGATTCTGAAATTTATTACTCACTTATAGTTCTGGCATTCATTCTCTGTGATATTAAGCTGCGTGTCTAACTGGTCCAGAAGTGTATCAGTGCATTCTTCACATAAAGGATGATCCACATCTGTTTGGCCAGACATGATATCAAACAGATCTCCAGTGACCTGTATGGAAGAGCTCATTTTAGCAAAGGAAAGAGAAAACAATTCTACAGTTTGTTAAATGAGGCAGAAAGTTTTGTCAAGGAAAACTACTATTCATTAGACTTTGTTTTGATAAAGAAAGGTTCAAAAGTATTGCATTCTATTCTCCCAAACAATCTTTTCTAAACATTGATAGTACATTCAAGAATAGAGATCAACTTGCTTTGAGTCTTCTGCTGAGATTTTCCATGGTTCCTCCATCAGAGGCCTCTCCAATCAGAGTAAAACTGTTGGCACTTTCTGTTGACATCATCCTGAAAAATGCAGCATGATTTTGTTATAAGCTGTGTTCTCATACACTTTCACCAAAAATTCTGACATTAAACCATATTACGGTAATATACATTTTATTCTACAAACAATTTCCAATTTCTAAATAGTAAATAGGTTTTGCTCTATATACTATATTTGACACAGATCTACAATTTGCAGGCTTATTAAGCTAAAACAAAAAAATGTCTGAATTGTTAGAGATAGACAATAGAGTTCAAAAATAACAGTTGTGTTTCGATCCATTGCATCCAAGAATCACTTGGATTCAATTTAAAATCCTCTTAGAAAACTATTCCTTTTCATTAGAATATACATTAGCTAGTTTATACAAGTAATCAAGAACCATGGTCACATAAAAAAACTTTTGCAGAATGGTTGTTTTGATCTGAAAAAAATAATAGCAAAGATTAATTTATTAGTCCAGGGGTGTCATTGTGCGTCATCATGGCACTGTCATGTGACATATCACAATATTTTTCCCCTTTGCTAAACCGGGCATGGGCGTGGCCAGCGCTTGATGTATCAGTCTATGGGCTGTGAGTTTGACAGTCCTATATTAGTCCTATGATAGAAATAATAGAGCGATACTTCCGTCTCATTACCGTGGGGGGCGAACATAGCTTTTTAAATTTTTCCAACCAAACAAACTAGCCTTCCTGAATCTACTGGCATAATGTTGGACCTCCTCCCCTAATTCTCAGACATTTATAAAATTTCTTCTGAAAATAATTGTTCTATAATAAAGAATCCAGTTCAAAATGAAATATGTATAGTCCTTGACTTATGACAACAATTGGGACCAGAACTTCTATTGCTAAGCAATTGTCAGGGTAGGAAATCAAGAATTAAAACATGTAAATGTTCAAAGGAGATTTTTTAAAATGTGGTTCACAAAAAGGCATAATCTTGCCAGAGTAAAGTACATTCTGCATATCTATCTGATAAATGCTGTGAAGAAATTAGGGTCTCTTTTGCATCACTTCCTGCATAACAACAACTGAAGATCTGATATTTCATTTTACTCCTCCTTCCCGTAACTCAGCACCAGATTTCACTACATCAATTCAGTTATTGAGTCACACGTAATAATTTTACAATTTTATAAAAAAAATTTGTCGTAGTCATTAAGCAAATCCAGTTTTCCCTATTGACTTTGCTAGTTGGAAGCCCTCCAGGAAGGTTGCAAATTGTAATCACATAATCCTGAGATGCTGCAACTATGATAAATACATGCTGGTTGCTCACATGACCACAGGGATGCAGCAATGGTCATAAGTGCAAAGACCACTTGCAAGTCATTTTTGTCAATGCTATCATTACCTTAAATTGTTAAACAAGCAGTCATAGGATTATTTGTGCTTCCTTTCAAAGGATGAAAGAACTAAAGTATATTTTGCTTTCACTTCTAGGAAGAATTCTTGCTCTAGCTAAGAATAGGTTTTAGGGGTTGTTGTTTTTTGCTTTTATCGGCAGCTGAGTGTATGTGTGTACATGTCAGTATCAGAATTTGATCAAAATTTCCAGCATTTGAAAGAATGGTATTTATTAGAAATGTATTAGAGCAGAGAACATAATACCTGGCTGGGGGAATGAATCTTCGGGACACTCCATCTTGGCGATTTTCAACAAACACTTCCTAAAAAGAAATTTAGCATTAGCATCTTGTGATTCCTTACCAAAGAGAAATAAATATTTGAGTCCATAAGCAGCTTTTAACAACCTGCCACTTTACAATGTACACATATTACAAGGAAAATTTAAAAAGCAGGCTTGGCAGAATAAGTGCCCCAAAAAATAACAATTCCTAATAATGACTGGCGTTTAACTTCTAATGCTGCATTGCTCTTAATTTAGAATCATACGCTGATGCTTTACCTCAGTCAAATGGGTCTCTTCCTCCTGTGCATCACTCAGTTTTGTTGGAACAGTAGTAAGCAGTGGAGCTAGATAAAAGATTACCAATTACAATTACCAAAGAAAAAAATAAAAATATTTGCATATAATGCTAAAAGTCAGCAGAAAAATTACTATATCTGTCTATAATATTTTCCCTTTGAGCTTTTGCTTCCCAATTCCAAGGATAGTTTAGTTTAGTTTAATTTACTTGTCATTGTACCTAGTACAACGAAATTAAATGCTATCTTCAGTGTACATTATTATAACTATAAAAAATAAAACACAAACACATCATTCACATTCTATACAATTGAATTGAAAACCCAATATTGCATTAATATTGCACTATACAATAGAATTCAATATAGTTACTGTCCTGGGACAGAAGCTGTTTTTCAGCCTATTTGTTTTTTTTATCAGGTTCTGAAACAGAGTTTCAGACTTGAGAACTGACTCATATTAAACTACTGAAATTTTTTCACAACACTATGTTATTGAATGTTTCCAACAACCTTACATTCTGTTTTCATTGAATTTTCTCAGCTATTGAGAAAAATCAGTATGCATTAACAATACAGAATTTATGGTTGCATTGGCTTTATGCACATTTTTTTACCTGTCAATTCCTGGATGGTGACTTTGTCAAGAACATTGAAAGATGTGTCCAATTTAAGGGGCTGACTACAACGCTGGCAAACAAAGCTGACCTGCATGGTACAAGCAGGTGACTTATATGCATCCATATCTGTGAAAGTAGAAAGATAGTCAATACAATGTTTCTAATATTTTGTAGGTGGGTATAAATTAATATTTTATATTGGATATCCAGTTTGTGTTTTCTACCTTGTGTAGTTCTATTGTAAAAATTCAGGAGTGGTTACTAGGTACCTTCTCTCATGCAGCATGAATCGATGTTTCTGTCATTATCATTTCATAGACCTCCTCATGGAGAGGATGGAGAACATTTATCTGTATATCTATGCATAGACCTTAGCACTATGCCTAAGGGTCAACACCATCTTGATGACACATATTGAATCAATCTAAATAATAGCATAGTTTAATCACCACCATTTCAGCTGTAACTCCCAAGGAAATCAGCTAGGATCTGATACGAAGTATCTTTGGGGAAACAGGAACTGTCCAAACTAGAGTGTACTAACAAAAATTAGCCAGGTACCGGTGTCAGTTCAATCCTTAACATGATTTTGGTATGAAATCAAAGACGTTTATCTTTGAGGTACTACGAATGCACAATCTGTTCTACTGCAGTTTACTGACATTTACTCCCTATACACAGCTTTAATTTCCTTCTGTTCCAGTTTAGGCTGAAGCTAGTAGACAAATTATGGTTAGGAATACAAAAGGATACATTCCAATGACCTTTGTTGGAATCTACCTTGATTCCATCTAAATGTCTCCATCGTTCTTACCTACCTCACGCCCAACAACGAACTAATGTGCTTGTTAAGTGGCCATAACCAGGTTTCCTGACTATAGGCGGGATACCCAATCGATGGTATTTAAAGTTTCCCAGGAGCAAACAAACTCGATCGGTAAAAAAATAACCGCCAGGCCACCTTGCCCTCCCAACAACACACGATCGACTTTCTCTTCGTCTGAAAATGCTTTCCTAAGCAACCCCGCCGTCTGTCAAAACGGCTTCGCATAAAGTTTTCTCTTCCGGAGAAATCGCACCCTTTGCTCATGCCCGTAGGAGGCGCAGAAACGGGACCGCCTTCTCGCTCCCCGTGGCATCAGAGAGGTGCTTGTGCTGGACTGGAAAAGCTACTTGCAGAGATGCAAAGTCGGCGATGTCCTTCTTGTACGAAAGGAAACCGCACATGAAACATTTTACTGTTACGACCACCCCCATATTCATAGTAGAGAGGAAGCCTAAGAACTGGCTTCACGACAATGTTGGTACTACGAATATCTGGTTGGCTCTTTGCTGCCATCTACTGACCATAGTAACGCAACCCAGATCCAATAACGCAAAAATACTTCGGTTTAAAGGCAGTACAATAATAAAAAAAGAGAACCATGGAAGATAGGCCATCTCTTAGGGGCAAAAGATACTGAAGAACAACCGGATACAGAAGGAAACAATACCTAGGATTTTTACACAGTGGAAGATAACCTGCAAGTTGCCGGAAAAAATTCACTTCGAACGCGAACCATCTTCAACTTCCTATTTCTACGCTGATTGGCTCCACGTCAATCATTTCACTTATTAGTACCGAGCTCCACCCACACCAACCGGAAGTTGTTTCTTTAGCGCATGTGCACAGCACCGGATAAAGCCTGTCCGACAAAAGCACCAGGAACAATCACGTTGGCTAAAATCGCATTCGGTGATTGGCCAAGAAAGGGCGGTGGCGGGGCGTTATGTTGTCACTTCCGGCGGTAACGAAGCCGGTGGTTTTTCTCAGGTGGTCGCGCGCGCGGGATAAAAGGAAACAGATCTGGCTTGGGAAATCGGCTTCCCTGCTCCGCCATGGCCTCTCTGCTCAAGGTGGACCCAGAAGTTAAGATCAAGGTATGGGAGGAGGGGGAAATTCTAATAAGCCCGCCACGGGCGTGCCTTTAGGCATGTGCAGAGTGCTAGAGAAGGTCACGGGGAATACAAGCTTCCGCCACGGCGACTATTTTTGCCAGTCGAACGTGATCAAAGTATGATAAATTTTGTACAGCGACCAGCCACAAATCCGTTGAACGCCACGTGTTTGGATCAAGTGATCTGCCGTTGGGAGCTTTACTGGTACGGCGTTACTGGCCTTTCATTTGTGAGCCAGTCTGCTTTATGAACCGAAAATTCCTTTAAGTTATGCAGGTTGTAGCCAAATAAACACGGCAGGCTGCTGTTTATTCTTATTATGGGCGTTAAAACCGGCGAAGCAGTAATTCTTACTGCTTCCCATGGCAATGAAAACAAGATGTTTGCGTTAGAAAATAATATTTTTATCTGGCGAGATTATTGAATTCCACGAAAATTATATGTTTCACACATTTCCTGGGTGGATTATTTATTTACCTTGAAAAGCACACCAATTTATATAATCTAGGAACATAATTCAAGATTATTAATCATTCAACCAGCATGCTTCTTGGAATAGCTAAGATGTGTGGCTTTATAGCAATAATTTTGATTTTAACAAATGTTCTGTTCCTCTACAAAGGCATGAGGTAATTTACTATTTATTTGGATAAAACATAAGTTATTTTTTAAGTTACTGGGCAAAATGGTAGTTCCATTTGATATCAACAGGATTATGTGTATTTCACTATGTCTTATAGTATTAAATAGGATTAACTTAAATTGCATTTAAGAGTAATATCATTCAGTATGTCTAGTAAGCATATCTGTTTATGGACAAAATGTAATTATGGAATATTTGTGAATAATTGTGAAAGAAAATAAAAATGTGACTCTACAATAGTCATAGTTGTGTATATTTCAAAGATAAATCCTGATACATATAAAAGATTTACACACAATAATACATTCTGAGTAATTTTGAGGGATAAGACAAAATAATATGTGATAGAAGAATATATTGTAATTTTAATGAAAAGATAGACTTTTGAATTGGGAAAAGTTAAAATGAAAAGAATTCAGATCAAATGAAGGTAAATAAAGGCATGATAGGAGAGTATGTTTCAGTTCTTACATGTCACTACAAAAATAAATCCACACAGTTCAATGTGATGTTGCTTAGATTAATCTTTCTAGGATTTTGTGCTGAAAAGTTAGTGATTAAAATTTAATGCAAAACACCAGCAGATCACAGTGGAAAAAAGGGAATAAATCAACCTAATTGAAAATTAAGCAGAAATAAGAAGCATGGCAAGGTGCAAGAAGATAAAAATCAGTAAAAATATTTTCAACATGGAAGAACAATAACTTGAATATAGGTTTAGGTAGAAACTAATGTTTTTTTTAAATATTGGAGAAACTATCATATTACCTCAAGCAGTAATGTGAACAAATAAAGAGAAGGGTAAAAAAATGATTCTCTTCCTGAAAGAATAACATTGAAGAATAACAATTACAGATTTGTGAATATATAAATATTATTTTCTACAGACTGATTTTAAAATCCATCTTGGAGGGAAGATGGGCAGCATAAAAATTTGATATTTTTTTTCTTTTTACAACTTTGTAATCCTTTAATTCAGGGTTGTTGGGGTGACTGAATGGAGCTGAGTGTTTACTGGTTGGATGATCTTCCTGATGCTTACAGCAGATATTTTCTCTTTGTCCCCGAATAGAAATAGTGAATACATATAGTATAAAAGTATGTACATTGCAATTAATTTTTTTGTAAAAATGGAAGATAAAAGCAAACGTAACAAAGCAATGGTACAAAACCAACTGGGTAAGAAGCAAAAGTGATACATGTAATCAACTTCTATCCATTCATTAAACAACTGATTGAAGTTACAACAGTACTGATAAAAGTAGTTTAGGACCAATGCTCACATGACTGTTGCAATAGTCTCATGGTCACATGATCATACTATAGGTGCTTGACAAACTGGCTCGTATTTATGATGATTACAGCATTCTAGGATCACTTATTACCATTTTTTGATTTTCCCAGTCAGCTTCTGATAAGCAAAAGGAGGGAACCTGGATTTGCTTAATGATATAATTCATTTAATGACTTCAGTAATTTAACAACTGCCTTGCTTAGCAACAGAAATTCAGGTCTCCGTTGTAAGTTGAGGACTTACATGTATATAGCAATAGCAATAGACTTATATACCACTTTATAGTGCTTTATAACCCTCTCTGAGTGGTTTACAGAGTCAGCATATTGCCCCCAACAATTTGGGTCCTCATTTTACCCACCTTGGAAGGATGAGTCAACCTTGAGCCTGGTGGGATTTGAACTGCCAAATTGTAGGCAGCTGGCTGCGCCACAGAGGCTCCTGATGTAGTTCCAAAACAGTGACATTTTGAGAAGAGGGTTATACTGGGCCCTAATATATAGAAAATCATTAAATTATTTTAATATAATAAAATAAATAATAAAAAATCTAATAAAGCGTCTGTTTTCTAGTGTCTAATTGTTTTATTAGATATGTCTTATATTCTGTAACAATGATTCAAAAAATCATTTGCAGGTAGGAGTTTGTATCTGTTAGGAGAATTGTAATTTATGCAGATGAGCAAAGATAAAGTGCTTGAGTGATTATGTTGCACCTAATTCAGATATGCTGTACTAAGCTGCACCTTTTCTCTTTTGCAGGTAGACTCTTTCAGGGAGAGAATCACAAGTGAAGTAAGTGACTGATTTCTGCTTGCAATTTCAAAGAGTAGAGTAGAGGCAGAGCTGGAAGGGCCCTTTGAGGTCTTCCTAGTCCAGCCCCCTACTCAAGCAGGAGAACCTATAGTAATTCAGATAAGTGACTGTCTAGTCTCTTTCTAAAAACCTTCAGTGATGGAGTGCCCACGATTTTTGAAGGCAAGCTGTTCCACTGGTTAATTTTCTTCACTGTTAGGAAATTTCTCCTTGATTCAAGGTTGTTTTTCTCTTTGATTGGTTTCCAACCATTGTTTCTTGTCCTGTCCATTGGTGCTTTGTAGAATAATTTGACGCCCTCATCTTTGTGGCAGCCCCTCAAATACTGTATGACTTTCTCTATAGTTTAGTGCTTACTGACCTCAGGAAATTGTAGGACTTTTGTTATGAGCTTTAGAAGTAGCTCAGCTTTCAAGGAGTTTATCTAGAGTTTTCTACTGATCCATACCACAGCTTAGTCTTAGCCTTCCTTTTGCGGAATCAGCAGTTTTATTGATAATTCATGCATCATAGGTGATGATCTTTCTCTTTCAGGCTGAGGATCTAGTGGCAAACTTTTTTCCAAAGAAGCTTTTAGAACTTGATGGGTTCCTTAAAGTAAGAGTTTTATTTCCTTTATTTCAAGAATGATACCTTTATTTCAAGAATAATACATTATCAAATAATAGTCTGCCAGTTATTAGCTTTTAATGCAACATTTGATGTGTTCCTGAGCATAAATATCTCACTCTTTTGGATATTCTGCCCTAGGATCCCATTCTGAACATTCATGATCTTACACAAATCCACTCAGATATGAACCTTCCTGTTCCGGACCCAATTCTGCTGACAAACAGTCATGATGGACTGGATGGGGTAAGGTTGGTCATCTGTAACATTTAATGATTGATTAAAACAACATAATTGTATTAAGTATACTTGCTGATAAACTGGAGAGGGAACAAAGATTTCTAATTTTTGAAGCAAATATCTGCTTTGTAGTATCTGTTTCCTGAGGCTGCTTTTAAGGGAAGAGTACGTATATAATATTTCCTCTCTTCCTTTTTTAGTCCAATATGAAAAAGCGAAAATTGGAAGACTGTGAAGAGACCTTCCAAGGTAGATTTTGTGTTAGTTAATTATTGGCTACCGGTTCTATTTTTGGAAATTTGTCCTAATTGGGGAAAGTGTAAATCTGTCCAGAATCCTATGGTATCCTATGACTCTAGTGATACAGTAACCAAAAAAAATCTACAGATGTTATGTATATTCCTTTTGCATCCGGACATACCATGAACAAAATGCATGTTACAAGTAGCTCCTTAATATTTGATTAGCTCTTTGAAATTTGAAATGATCCTCTGAAATGCTGTTTTTCTGTCTTAAAAAGATAAACAGTAGAGTGTATAATTTGAACAAAGTAGAGATCCCAGAATTGGATGTAACCCCGAAACTGGAAGTTGATTACTTATGACCATAACCTCAATTAGAAAGATCAACATCACTTGCACTATGGGGTTTAAAAATTGGATTAAAAGTGGAATGGAGAAAAAAGACTTGAATTTCCATGAGAAATTGGGGTGTCTTGCTTCCCTGGAATAAGTAACTAGTGTCAGACCTGCACCAATAAGATCCCTTATGAAAGAAAGACTTGACTCCATTAGGTTGAAGTAAAAGATTTTTTTTTAATTAAGAAAGTTGATTTCAGTAAAGTCAGGCTAGCTCTAAGATTTTCCCACATGAAAAAGTACAGAAAAAGTTCCCTTCCTCCCTGTGACCAGTCCATGCTTTGCCAATCAGAGCTCACCAAGATGCTATGAGAATACTGAGAGGTTGTGGGCAATTCACATTCCTTTCCCAGGGTGCATAGCCTTGGTGCCTCTGGTACAAACCTGGTCTTCTCTGGTCTTCATCACCTGTCATTCCCCCCTCCCCTATTTTCCAACACATACACAAAGTCACATTGCCTATTTGTCCACCACCATCCCTCCTCCAGCTTTAGAAGGCAGGAACTAGCAGGACGTACAACTAGTCTCTTTCTATGGCACTAGGTACCAAAGTCTTTGTCATGCCTAATGGTATGCTGAAGAGCAACCAGCAGCTGGTGGACATCATTGAAAAAGTAAAACCAGAGATTCGGCTGCTGATTGAGAAATGCAATACAGTAAGCATTGGTTTGCCTTTTTTGCCTTATGAAATTGTTTTACAAAACGATTATTGGACATGCTGCTTTTAAGAGGGGAGAGATAAAATCAAATGCTTTTCTGAAATTGCAGTATACAAATTCAATAAATACTCTCTGCACCTCTGGGATACCTTTTGCAGAGGTATTAAGGCAAAATTGGTTACAAGTAGTTCTCGACTTACAACTAACTATTTAATGACATTACAATGCCATGGAAAAAAGTGACTTACAACCATTTTCCACACAACTGGTTGCAGAATACTTGACAATTGGATGTATTAATAATGGTTGCAATGCACATGATCACATTTTGAAACATTCTAACAAGCAAAGTTAATGGGAAAGAAAGATTCACTGTTACTATTTTAACTGCAATGATCACTTAACTGTCATAAGAAAGGCTATAAAATGGGGCAAAATTCACTTAACTGTCTTGCTTAGCAAGAAAATTTTTGGGCTCAATTGTGGTTGAAAGTCAAGAACTGCTTGTACTCTGTTTTGTTTTTTAACATTATATGTCAGATAACCAACTCCATATATTGCAGAAGGTAGAGAAATTTGGCTGCTTCTCTGCTGTACAAATATTTTCTGTGTAGACAATTATTAGGAGTATCGATTTTTGAGTGGAGGACTAATACAGTAAGTCATGATTGTGCTCTTGTGTCTGAAGGGCTGTATCTCATCAATCAGTGTTAATCCAATGTTAGAATTGATCATAAGGATATAAGGTCCAAATGTTTGTTATTACTTTTTATGACTATTGTGGAAAAATTGGCCTCAGTTAAGCAAATGTTTCATGCAGAGCTCAGCTAGCAAAACATTTGCAGACTATCCAGAAGGATAGTATTTCTTTAACATGCTGTTTTGTTCTTCAGGTCAAAATGTGGGTACAACTGCTGATTCCCAGGATAGAGGATGGAAACAACTTTGGTGTTTCTATTCAGGTAAATTGACTATTGAAGAGATAACTCTGGGAAATTATGCCTATGGATAAAGTACTATGGATGGAACCTTCTCTTAATGGGGGAAGAACAAATCATTATTTAGAACTTGACTGATTTGTAGGAAGCATTTTCCCTGATATGACTGCTTTTGTCTGAAATGGTACAGATTCTCCTGCCTGAGCAGAGGGTTGGTCCAAGGTTGCTTCCAATTTCTGTTATTGTGCTAGAGTTTAGAATAAAATAGATTTTTTTTTTATTGGCCAAGTGTGGTTGGGCACACAAGGAATTTGTCCTGGTGCAAATGCTCTCAGTGTACATAAAAGAAAAAATACATTCGTCAAGAATCATAAGGTCCAACACTTAATGATAGTCATAGGGTACAATAAACTAACATAATAGGAAACAGTCAATATAAATTGTAAGGTTACAAGCGACAAAGTTACAGTCACACAGTCACAAGTGGGAGGGGATGGGTGATAAGTGATTAACAATAATAGTAATAATATACTCTTCTACTGCATTTTGATTATTTTTATTTCATTTGACTCGGGTTACTTAAATTGGAAGTTAGAATTCATAAGCAAAATGCTGTGATCCCAAGTAGTCCTTGCTTACCAACTGCCTCACTCAGCATTTAAAATTATGATAATGCTGAAAAAAGTATGTCCAGTGACCACATCAATGACATTGTGATGTTCCTCAATCATGTGATTACCATTATGATCCATGCATATTGTCCTGTATCTGGCCTGTTGTTTTTCTTTTATTCATCCCCCGCAGAGCAGGAAGAGATTAGAGAGAAAGAGAGTAAGTAGGCACAGAATGGGGGAATATATACAAAAGGAATGTGATGGTACTAGTTTGAGGCTGGGATCCATGAGCATTTTGTGCTAACACCCCATCATGTTTCCACCTATTTTGTTACAATCCATTCATCTCCAATGTCTCCACTCTACAAGGGGCAAAAATGGGTCAGACATAGGAGAGATTGCCTACCAAAATTGCCTGGTTTCTCTCTCCCCCCCCCCCCCCCCCCCCCCCGAAATTGGAAATGAAAGGATTTATAAGAAAGTTACCAAGCACATAATGGGCAGGCTGTTTGCATAGCATTCTCATGGTTCCCAGCCTTGGGATTACTGCATTGCTTTCTTGTCTATTTTCCATTATGTGTCTGCTTTCTAGTAATCTGTACCTCTCCAATGATCAAATGTAAATACAAATATCAATTCCATTCTTGCTAATTATCCAAGCAATGGATAATTGCTAGATGAGCATTCCAAAGAATAGAAGAGTAGCTAGGAAGCAAACAAAAGCCTAGGGTATGAAACTGGTCTTTTCAGCTTTGAGCCAGCAGGGATTGGGAAAAAGGGAGGAAAGCAATCCCAATTACAGGTAGCCCATGACTTACAAGCTTAATTGAGCCCAAAATTTCTGTTGCTAAGCGAAACAGTTAAGTTAGTTTTGTCCCATTTTATTACTTTCTTGCCACAATTGCTAAGTGAATCACTTCAGTTGATCAGTTACTAACATGGTGAATCTAGCTTCCTCATTGACTTTGCTTGTCAGAATCTTGTCAAGATAATCATGTGACCTCAGGACACTGCAACTGTCATAAGTATAGGCTAATTGCCAAGCCCCTGAATTTTGATCACGTGATTGTGAGTATGCTGCAACAGTTGTAAGTGTGAAAAATGGTCATAAGTCACTTTTTTCAATGCCATTGTAACTTTAAATCATCACTGAATGGTTGTAAATCAAGGATTATCTGCACTTCTTTTCCTATTAAGCAACCATTTCAATTAGCAGAGCTGCAAGCCCCAATTACTGTTGCTGAACAAGGTCCTGTATTCTACCTATAAAAGTTGTCTGCATATATTGAATTATAATTATCCTCAGCATGAAGTCTTCTCTTAATATTTTCTTGCTGGCTTCTTTGCAGGAAGAGACTGTAGCAGAGCTTCGAACTGTGGAAAGTGAGGCAGCTTCATATTTAGATCAGATCTCTAGGTGAGTATCTCCTTGCAGAGCATTTCAAGTTTTTTTTCCCAATGGGATAACTCTCCAGAGTATACATTGTTGTGTGTCACTTACACCATCCATTGTTGTGGCTCTGAGGTTTGAGCCTGCTTTATTAGAGGACGAAGACTTGGACAGTGGGGAAGAAGAGGTTTTGGAAATGCCTTCCTCCCCAGGACCTTCCTCTTCGGCAATGCCTTCCTCCCTGATTGTGCCTCAGGTGTCAGCAGATAACCGGGAGGGAAGACCTGAGGCTAATCAGGAAAAGGAGGAGGGCATATCAGAGTCTCTGACTGAGAATCCAGCAGAGGAATGCTGGCTTGATGTGAGGCAGAGGCGTAGGCAAAAGTGCGAGCTGCAACGCAGAAAGAAGGGACGAATCAGAGACTGAGATGAGGGACTGACACGCCCCACAGGGAATAAAAGTGGGTGTGTTTGCTCTGGGAACTTGTTCGGGACAACGTGTTACTTATGGAGAGAAGCTTCGGAGTATCCTGTGTGTGGTGACAGCTTGTATGATTTGTATTCCCCTTATCTGGTCGGACTTGGCAGACAGTGTGTGTGAGACTGCCAAGAACTTTATCGGCTCAAAGGAGTTAACTCCATAATTACTGGACTTGCTTGCTTGTTTGTATTTAGTTGGAAATTTGGATTTCTCACCTCGTTTGTACAGGTGAGACATAACAATCCATTATAGCACTTCCCCCTTTTATTTCAGATACTACATCACACGAGCAAAGTTGGTTTCTAAAATAGCAAAATATCCTCATGTGGTAAGTGTTAAGTGGAGATATTAAATTGACTACTGAATTAGATTTAGGACCATTGCGTGGATTAGAAATAATTGAAAAGATTCTAGAGCATATTCTCCTTGGAAATAATAATATGAATCAAATGCCTAGATCTATACTACATAAAAAGTGGGCAGTCCCTAAAAACCCCTAGGAACAATTGTATTGCTGGATCACTTATATTTTCTGGAGATTTAGGATAAAAGTATGAGTAAAATATTTTAAAACATGGTGATTAATTTTCTTAACTTACAGCCTTTATCACTGGACAAAAAAAAAGCCAAAACCTCCCCTCCTCCCACTTTCCTAACTGGAAAAAGTTACCCAATCCTACCCTAAGTGCACATCTTTACTTCAGATTTCCATTCTGGAGTTTTCATATAAGACTAGTTTTCTAATTAGAATTTAATTAATAACATTCCAGAAATGGTTGGTGTTCAGTTTATGAAAATCCTGAAAAGATGACAGATTTTTATACTGTTAAATCTGAGTAATGGAATGAAACTCCCAAGCTAAAAGTTGTCTTAGTGCAGAGACAAGAAATCTGTACTACAGATTCCAGTAGTATTAATAATGAAGGATCCTAAAAATTCCTCATTCCTGCTTATTGCATGGTAGGGACTAAATGGTTCTGATTAAATAATTGTCTCTGTAGGAAGATTACCGCCGCACAGTGACTGAAATGGATGAAAAAGAATACATCAGTCTCCGACTCATCATTTCAGAGCTCAGAAATCAATATGTAAGTTAATGTTTCTTCCCAAGTTGGAAGATAATATCCCTTTTCCTAATGAATTAAGAGTTTCCTGTCACAAAAGTAGGTATGGGTTTTTTGACCTCCCATGTGTTCCTGAATTCAACTCCTGGAACTCCTAGCTACCATAATCAAGTGAGGAGTACCAGAAGTTGCAAATAAAGTATGTTGAGTACTGTATTTTTGTGCTGTTGTCTTTGATTATTTATTTAGATTTATCATTTGTCCAGCAGAAGCAATTATCAAGTCTCAACTTCTGGTTAAATATGGTGATATCTCCTTTCTAAGGAATAATACTTATATAGGCAAGCTAGTGAGTAATAAATTGCATAGATACTAGAAGTCTTGAAAAAGAGATTGAAATTATTACTGGAAAAAATAAATAATTTTTAATCTAGAATGCAACTGTCTATGCAGTTGTGGTTGCTGTCCATCTGAGAATAATAGTTAATATTGTCCAAACCATTGAAATTCAGGAGATACAGTAAAATATATGCTGATTAATGGATAAAACAAGCCTTTAGACATCTTTTAACAAACAAGAAACAAAGAAACAAGAAGTATTAAGTATCCTCTGTGTTATGTGCTGTGTTTTGTTAGAGTAGGAATGCCAAACTCGTGTGGTCCCGGTGGCGTCAGGTGACGTATTAGGACTCCCCCCTTCGTTAAACCGGGCATGGGCATGGCCAGCACAAGACGCATCTGGCATGCAGGCCCGGAGTTCGATAACCCTGTGTTCAAGAAATATAAGCAGATCTTTAAGCACAGTCCCCATATAATTGCCTTTTGTTTCCATATAATTGTGCAGACTTCTTGATTGTAGAACAGTCCCACTGTATATTTAAGGAATCGGCCTCTGATAACATGTGAAACTTTCCAATCTGTTTGGATCTGCAAATACTAGACAAGTGTTTAAGTGATGCTGATTTAATTTCTATTCATACCTAGCATTGATCAGTCTTGAGTAGCTTCTTTGAAGAATGTAAAATAAGGATAGAATAATAGATATTTTTGCTTACTTGGTTAATAATTGGACTGCCTATGCTTTTTTGGGGGTGGGGGAATAAAAATGGGAAATATTACTCTATTCATATAATACATAGAACTTAAAGACTGGGCTCACATAACATTCTAAACCTAATTCAAACCAAATTATGTTATATAAGCCCAGGCTATTATAGCTTCTTCTACAAACCATATTTTAAATAAATTGGCATAGTATAGTTTCTGAACCAGGGCATAATGATAAAAACATGATCAATTAGCTATATTACTTCTACTTATTTTTTTTAAAAGAAATTCCCTGGTTTATTTGAACATTTTACATGTTTTCATGTTATATAGAGAAAACCACAATAAGTTAAAATTGCTTCAAATCTAAAATGAATTAAATGTGTAAAGTCTCCTGCAGGAACTTAATTGAAGGCATGCAAATTCTGCTGAGAAGTGTTGGGAATGTGTTCACTTCCTTTTTTGAACTCCTTAACAGCCAAGTACAACACGTAAGGAGAACTTTTTAACAGAAACCTTTCTTTTTCTTTCTCAGTGAAAGAAATACTAAAATTGTTTTCAAAAAGCTAAAGAGTGTACATATGCAGAACTCAAGTAAACCTAAATCCTAACACTAGTTTATTAACAAAATCATCAATAATGTGAAACTTATGTGTCAGGATTCCAGCAGTTACTCCAATTAAATCATGAGCCTCACGCTACACTCCCAAAACTAAAAAAGATTTATTTAAAGTTAACATTCTACATCCGTAATTAACCTGGGTGTAGCCAACTCTGAGATACGTAATTCACTGTCACCCTTGATCCTGCTTTCCCCCCCACCCCTCTGGGTGTATCATCCAATGAAAAATGTCCATAGCCAAGAGTCATCAATCATGCTCTCCAATTAGATTTTTGAGCGGCAGAAGCTTCAGTCATCTAATCATCCTTTGAAGAAAATATGAATCGAACGTACTTTCGATTCCACACTGCTGCCTGCTCTTTGAAACTCCCCCCTCTTTCTGTTGTCAACTATAAAACGTGTATACAAAATGTTTTATGAGTTGACATTCGGCTCCCCTCACTTCTTGAAGGTGACCTGTACAACACATGCTTACTATTAAGGAAAAAGAAAAAACTGAATATTTCTTGATATGGGGCATATTTTACCAATGGTTAGATAATAAAAACAGAAGTTAGAAATATGGAGATATAAAAGGATACATGTTAAAATGGAGATTTGTTAAAGTAGATAAGTTAAATATTGTTATTATACTATTATTATGATGAATACTACTGTAAACATTTTGATTATGATTGCCTAAAAACAATTGTACCCAGACAATACACTGTTTGATTGAAATTTAATTTTTATATGTTATATAAATAAAACAAATAGAACATTAAAAAGTACACTTCCTAGAGCCCATAAGATGGCAAGATTTAATAGAGGGACCTAGAACACACCCATTCTGCTGGATCTTAACTGATGAGCAGGAATTAGTCTCTTAGGTAATCAGGCCTTAAGTAATGTAGGATTTTTTAGATAATAATTTCACTCTTAAGCCAACTGACAGCCATCGTGGCTCATATAGCATTGGTGACACATTAGCACACCAATCGGCAATTTAGAAATTCTAGTTTTTTTTTCTCAGCCTTAGAGATCTTTCTTCATGAGGCACAGCTATATCCAGGAGTTTAGAAGCTTTCACTTAAACTGTGGGCAAGTGACATAAGTCATTAGCACTGGCCAATAGCAGCTAATACTTTAACAATTGAAAGAAAAAACATATTTAATCATAGGCTATGCAGCTAATTTATATCTTTGTGTTGTGTTCACTTCAGTATTTCTTCCATATATTGTACTATAGGAGTAGCTAATGGAAATGCAATCCCAAATTTCTCACTTGTAAACGTGACAGGTCTTTTGATAACTTGTTCTAATCATAGTTATTGTGATGTGTCAAAGTGATGAAAGTAAAGGTGACAAACACTGAAGATAGGAGAGGCACTAGGTACTTCCATGATGTTGGACTGATAGTGCCTTCCAGATCTACTAGAATAAAATTTCCAAATTGTAGCTGAGAGCAGGACTGTTTTTTAGGATTCTTGTCTGAAACATTAGTGTCTGCCAAAGAAATGCTTTCCATTTACCAAAAATATTAGGAAATGGAGAAAAGAATGGCAAATGACAATACTGGCTGAAAATTTTGGAAGTTGAACTCTGATGACTTTTGTTAAGTATGGGACTAATAAAGGCTATGTTACAGTAATATGTTGATTAATTCAAAGATAGAGTATTCTTTTTCTATTTAAGTTTCAGTCTTGTAGTATGGTACTTTTGGTAGATATCGTAGATATATGTTTTCAAGTACAACAGCATTCATGATTCAGGTCAATACTTCAAATGCAAGCCTATTTGAATCACTCTTATGGTTCTCAATCAACCACTGTATTTTTTTATAATTTTGTGAAAAGAATCCTCTATTCAATTGATAGCATCTTAGAAACATTTGTGGGAAACCCACGACTCCATGAAATTGGTTTAATTTTAACTCGGTAGTTCCCAAACAACCTTGCATTTATTGAAGTATAGAATGTTAAGTTGTTGGGCAACAATCTTTCTAACTTTCTCTGGAGAGAAATATGATACTCATGGCTAATCATATATACTTGCCAAAGTCAGGGGAAAAAAAACTAACAACAGATTCTCTCCTTCTAGGTGACTCTGCATGACATGATTCTAAAGAATATTGAGAAGATCAAGCGACCCCGGAGCAGCAATGCGGAGACCCTCTACTGATCTGGCTGCATTCTGAATTTATGAACTTTTCAGTAGGCTCAAGACAGTCCTTGCCTCAGTTTATGTGACTATCAAGATGGGGAAGCTGGCTGGAAACAGTCCTCACCATACTTTTAGTTAAACGTCTAAAGAAACTCTCTCCTAGTCCTTTTCTGGTTGGTTTTTTTTTTAAATTGGATCTTTGAATTTCTCCCTTTTCCTACCATGTCTTTGAGATATAGAAGGCTAGAACAGAAGATCTCCTATATTGGTAGGAATGGGAGATTTGCCAAGCTGTTCCCGGTAAGGATCCTGAGATCAGCCCTAAATAATCCAGGTCTAGCATCCCTGAGAAACTCCTTTCTAGATAGGTTGTCCCTGCCAAAAGCATTGTCGACTTCTACTCAGAGCTGATGATTCTGGTCATAAGCTTCATTCAATCTTTTCATTGAAACTCAGTGTTTCATCTCAACATGGCTTGCCCTTATCTAACTTGTCCTATCATGCAAATTCTAATAGTTCTAATGCCATTATAAATTTCTCTTTTCTACACGTACATGAATACACACACACACCCCTTCCAGAAATTTATGATAAAGTAAATCTAATCTTGGCTAACAAGGAACTCTAGCACAGCATCTGAGTGCAGTGGGCATTCTCACACTTTTTTTCTTGGAGCAAGGCAAACCTGTTAGACGGTTTAGTAAAATTGGTCTGCCTAATTTCAGCATGAATGATCAAGCTCAGAAGACCTGAAGTACATTTCATCTTAATCCTTTTTTCTTTCCGACTCTACTTAAATTAGCCTAGCACTTGTTTCTGAAGATCTTGCCTCACTTTCAGGAAATGCTCAAAGTGTTCTAGGTGTCCTATTAGGTCTGAATAAGTCCTGTTGGCTTCTTCCACTTTTCTCGTTTCTGATTTTCATGAAAACAGAAAGGGGATGCTATCTATCTGGGATGCTGCAGTTTCTTTTCAGATTTACTATTTATCTTTATATCCATCTAGTGCTGTAGTCTTGTTAGTGGTGTTAGATTTGTTAAAAAATAGACAACAGCAACAGTGGCAGGATGAATGAAGTTTGTTGGCTCCTTTCCCTGCTTGTTTTAAAGAGGTCTTTTCTCTGCCATCTCTCAAGGGCACAGGAGTTTCATTGACCTGAACTCATTGCAAATGCCTCTGCATCACTGTCATTTGTAGCTGGACAAGCCATACCTTACCCAGGTAAAAATTCACATAACAATTGTCCTCACTAGCTGCTCCTGAGAGTAGCCTTCCCTGCTTTTGTTTCCTTGTATCAGCTGCTTTGTTGGATTGTTTATATTTCCTTGCTGCATTGAACCTATGTATGACTTCTATTATGCCGACAAATTAAAAGTAACAGGAACTTTGAATTTATCTTTAATCATCCTCATAGGTACCACTGCATTGGTAACCAAGATTTCTGTCTGTATTCGTTTAATTTTTGCTATTTTATCATTCTTGATCTCAGCCCTATTAGTGAGAAGGAGCTATAAATTTTAGTTCAAAGTTTATTCCCAAGTTTGTTCTCTGATATTTTAGAAAGTTATGGGGTAAAATGAAAAACCTCTATACTAGTAGTTCTAAGCTTTATCAGTGATGATGATGGGGCATGAAATAAGCCCCTTTTCGGATCTTCTTCCTGAGGCTAATATTTTGCCCCATATCTTTATGGTGGTATTTACTTTTTCTGTCTCCTGGATGAAACTTGAAGGCATCCTCACAGTTCTTTTGTAGTATACATTGAAATCCAGTTGGCTTCCAAGCTGAATGAATATTGATAATTCAGAATGGGCTTAATCAGGAGTTAACTGCTTGTAATTCCTGGTCTCATTTCATGCAGCTTGACATTGAAAGCCTTTTGCAATCAATCAGTTTATTTCTCTAGCAAAAACAATGCATCCTTGATCTGTGTCTTCTTTGTAAGGGGGGAAAGAGAGAATACGGATTAAGTAAAGGGGTGAAAGGGGAGGATTCTGGAAAGAATAAGCTCAATGTAATTTCTTCTGGGTCATTTGCTTTAGCTCTGTCCATCTTGGCATGTGATGCAGCCCTAGACCGATTACTTCTAGAGGAACATGGCCTTCCACAGAAACAAAGAAAGAAAATATGATTGCCTCCCTCTATGTTATGATGGTCAAGAAACCACAAGAAACAGAATTTCATCATAAGGGGAGAGGAGCAAAGCCTCAGATACATATATTGCAATCTTTATGTGTGAATTGATAGTGTTGGTTAGTAATGAATAGTGCCAGAGTGTGTTTTCTTAAATAAAACATGTATCTCTCTACTATTGGCCCCTTCAGTCATGCTGTTCCATGCTCTTTTGTTAACTTTTCCTGAACTGAAGCTGAAGAGCACTATATTTGCAGATCCCGTGCATTTCATTCAATTCTCAATTAAAATTTTGTATTATGAATTTGAATACTTAAAGCTTATAGAGCTATATCCTTCCAACATTTCACCACTGCAGAACATGCTAGAGAGATGAATAAAATTATTTATGGTTTGGAAAAATCTGACTTATCCAATGCAGGTGAGTAATTACAGGTTCTAGAGACATCAAAAGGAGTAATACTAGACTGTATGTTTAAATGAAGATACAGATGAGTTTATGCTGGGTGGGGTAGAAATCCTTCTCATAATCTGATTGGGCACTAAAAGACCAGAAAAACCTTAATCAGGTAACTTAAAGCTCTGAGGTTCCAATTCAGTGAATCCTGCAGCTTTTGTTAAGAATATATATCTGATATCAATCAATGCTTTATTTCTACCCCCAATTCTTATGATACTGCTGAATGAAATGAGTGCAACCGTGAATTCCATTTCACACTCTTAAGATGCAAAAAGAATCAAATAATATGATAGATGAACAAAGTTTAGCATAGTAAGGATGAGTCAGCAAGTGTATGGCTGAAATAGTAAGATCTAGCTACACAGAGCTCTCTTTTCCATAGTAACAAACATCTGGGATGCCAGGAGCGTGCATGGAATATTTGACTCCACGTAAGAGTAGCAAGCTTTAACTTGCCTTCAAGCCTCTTGTTCTGTGAGAGATTCCATTTTTCTGCAGAACTATCCACTGTTGGGAAATACTCAAATATTCTGTATATTGTCAGAGCAATGATCTGACCAAATACATTGTTTTAAAGCAAGGTACAGTTGTATGCAAAAAAATTATAGACATTTCTGTTCAAATTCCTGATTTCATAAAAGATGGTGCAAACTACATAATGTAGAATTAAACATGACATCTTTCTATATCTTTGGAAGCTTTTTAATGTCCAGCTTACAAACTCAGAATAAAAGCAATGAATATGACAGGTGCAAAATGTGATAGGTGCAAAAGTTTGCTCACCCTTTCAGTATTTGAAACACTTTGGCAGAAATAACAATATCCAAATCCAATTGGTGGTTTGGATCCGCTTCCCAGAATACCACCGATCAACTGTTCCAGGTTGTGCTGTCACTGCCCATCGCCGCTGCCACCTATTGCCGCCTCCACACCACCTGGAACAATTGATAGGTGGTATTCTGGACTCAGATGTTCATGCTAAATCAGGCTGTGTTGAAGCTGACAGGCTTGTTGCTTTTTTTTCCTCTTGTTTTCCTCCCCGAAACTAGGTGTGCCTTTCAGTTCGAAAAATATGGTAGCTTTTCTTGGGCCAGACAATCTAGAACTCATCCCATGATATTAGTAGTTTTGTACCTATCCTCTTTTCACAAACAAGGGTTGCAGAGCTTACTCTAAAACAGTTTTCCATCATAAATAAGTTGGATGCTATACTTCAAACTAATATACCACCAGAAATCAAGGTTGTTTTTCCTTCACTTGCAGGTACTAAATAAATCAGGTTGGCAACAGTTGGTAAAGGATAAAAAGGCAGGGTTTCATTTTTTAATTCAGTATACTCTTAGGGCAAAACATACATAATAAGCTGCCTGTATCCAAACTCCAAGTTGGGTTGTTAGTTTACACATATGGTTTATTGTGAGGCTACTAATCTGGTCTAGTGAGTTGTGTATATATTAACCAATCAAAGTATAGTGAGAAAGAATAGGATTTGCTCATTTTATAAATACCTCACCCCCACAACTGTCAAAAAAGCAGTGTTTTGCTTCTTAAATTTCTTTTCACATTGTCTCATTTTACTTCTCTCTTATTCAAGTAGTGGGTGGCTGTAAAGTGATTGTGTTTAGAGTGATTCTTGCCTTTTGGAGAAGAATCAACATCAAGAGCTCCCAGGTGCCTACGGGGATCTGTTAGTATATTTAGTATGTAAAATCTGTCCTAGTCTTCACTCTACATATCTTGACTACATAGACAGTAGTGAGTCTGAGCTTCTTTCTCAGATTCCATTCCTGCTTTGAACTGAGATTTATCTGACTTGTCTTGGCTGCAGTTCTTCCTCTTTCTCAAAGCTAATTTCACAGCTCATTATAGCTTGCTGTAATAGTATCTCTTGATGGGGAAGCACTATTGAAGGAGCAAGTCTTATGATTTCGGTTTTATCCTGGACATACAGCTTTGTAGGAACAGCAGATGGCAATACCCAAGAGGCTTTTGCCCAGTTCTAGCTGGTTCATTAATTGCACCCCTACCTAAGAGAAGAAAAACTAATTACAATAACTCATGCCATCATCATCACCAGTTGAACTACTGCAGTGTCTACTTTGACTTGCCTTTAAAGCACGTTACATTTAGCTTAAAGTACAGATCCTGAAGATGAAATTCAAATACTTTGGCCACCTAATGAGAAGGAAGGAGTCACTGGAGAAGAACCTAATGCTGGGAAATATTGAGGGCAATAGAACAAGGACGACAGAGAATGAGGTGGCTGGATGAATTCACTGAAGCAGTAGGCGTGAGCTTAAATGGACTCCAGAAGATGGTAGAGGACAGGAAGGCCTGGAGGAATGTTGTCCATGGGGTGGCAATGGGTCGGACACTACTTCGCAACTAACAACAACTATAGCTTGTATGTTAGTTACTGCTCACCACAGTGAAAGAACATTATAGCTGTGTTGTGAACCTGGACTGGTTACCACTAGGTTGTCAGGTACATTTAAAGGGCTGGTTTTTTTTACCTTTTTCAGGCATGATATTTTTCCGATTAAAATCGGAATTCCGATTTTTTTCGGAATCGCCCAGGCGGTGCGAGCGGAGCCCGGGCGAGCGGCGGGCGGGGCGGGAGGTGCGAGTGGCGGGCGCGCGCGGCGGTCGGTGCG